CACCATCTCTGCTAGATCACGCCAATAAAGGTTGAAACTCCAATAAGGGTTGATCTCTACTTTCTCTTTTGCCCCATCAGGAATCTAGTCTCTACTAAGCTGCTAAAGTATCATCTACAAATTTAAATCAGATCCCACCACTCACTGCTTAAAAATACATGAATGGCTTCCAATAGTACTATGAATAAAATATAGACCCATTGGCATGGCCCACAAAGCCACATGAACTGTCCCTGCCTCTCCCTGAGCTCACGTCACTCACATGCCCCTGAACTCTGTGCTCCAGTAATCTGGCCTTCTTTCTTTTCCTTAAACAGGAACAGGTTTATTCCAGCCTTAAGGCCTTTGAGTTCGCTGTTCCCTCTTCCTGAAATTGCCGAATCCTTTTCAGAGTTCAGACTTCAGCCTGTCTTTCCCTCCTTTGGGGAAATTTCCCCCAACACTGTAACCAAAGTAGCACAACAACAGATCCCCAACCCCTGGAACTCTGTTTTTTATCCTGTTTTATTTTCTTTATAGCACTTATTGCTTTCTGAATTTGTCTTCTGTGTTTATTTATTTACTGTTTGTTTCAAAGAGTAGAATAGAAGTTTTGTGAAAGCAGGGATTTTGTCTGCCTTGGTCACTGCTATGTTCTCAGTTCCTAAAACAGTGCCTGGCACTTATTAGAGTCTCAGTGGTTTATGTGTTGAATGAACGAATGAATGAAAACAGAGATAGAAGAATACATAGCTGCTTATACGGATGGTGAAAAATTCATAGCTGCTTTGAAGGATGGTGAAAAGACCTTTCTTTCCCCACAAATCTTTCCATCTTGCCTCCTGCTAATACCTGAAGTTCCATTTTTAAAGAATAACAACTGACTTTTATTTCTGGTTATGACTTAGCTATACAGGACTCTCATGCCAAAAACATACATAAAACCTGAGTAAAATTTATAAAGCAATTTTTCTCTCTCATCTTTGGTATTCTTTGTGTATCCAGAAGCTGAGGATTCATGCTTTTCACCAATTCTAGGAAAATCCTTGGTCGTTATCCATTAGATACTGTCTTCCCCATTCTCTCTGTCCTCTATCTTGTCGGACACATGTCGAAACTTCATATCCTAGTATTATGTTGTTTTCCTTCTCTTTCATTTTTTTTTTTAATTTTTTTTTATTTTTGGCTGTGTTGGGTCTTCATTTCTCTGTGAGGGCTTTCTCTAGTTGCGGCAAGCAGGGGCCACTCTTCATCGCGGTGCGCGGGCCTCTCACTATCGCGGCCTCTCTTGTTGCAGAGCACAGGCTCCAGACGCGCAGGCTCAGTAGTTGTGGCTCACGGGCCTAGTTGCTCTGCGGCATGTGGGATCTTCCCAGACCAGGGCTTGAACCCGTGTCTCCTGTATTGGCAGGCAGGTTCTCAACCACTGCGCCACCAGGGAAGCCCTCTCTTTCATATTTTTAAGCTCTTTCTCTGTGCTGAATTCTGGATTTTGTCTTCAGCTCTATCTTGGTTGACTAATTCTTTCTGCAGATGTGTTTAATCTGCTCTTTATTTTAGCTTTAAATTTAATCATACCATTTTTTCCCTTCTAGGAGTTAAATTTTTCTGAAATTGCTTGTTTCTTGATAGTTACTTTTTCACGCTTTAAATGTTATCATTAATTTATTAATAATTTACAAACATTTTTATAATTTAACCAATAATTGCATTATCTCAATTCTTCGGAATCAGATTGAGCTCTTTTGTTTTTGCTGACTCTGACTCATGGTGGCTTAGTCACTCATGCTCTTTATGTGTTCACTTTTGAGCTCATGTTCAACTTGGCTTTATCTGTGGGATTCTGTGGAAGCTGTGTTGAGTATCTATCCCTCCAGGTATGATTTATTTTGGCATTTGCTAAAAGTTTGATTTTGTTAATAACCTAGGATCATTTTATATTCCTTTCTTATCTTGGGTTTCTGAGACTATACAGATAGTGTAAACATGAACCCCTAATTCACATGAGGGCAGGTTGGGGTTATGAACTCTCAGAGGAGACTTTTTTCCAAAGAGTCCCGGACAATATGGCAAGTATTGTTTTATGCCCCCTTTGTCGGTGGGCAGATATTTTTCTTGTTCCCCTTCATTGAGGATATTTCAATGTTCCTGGCTTTATGCAGGGGTCTTGGATTCAGCCCTCCACCTTGTGCGTTTCAAGGAATTGTCTCCTGTTCTCATGTTTTTCCATGGGTAAAGAGAATGAAAGTTATCCTCAGGATACTCTTTTCTTCAGTATTCTCTGGGGAGTTCCCTTCTTTCCATGGAAGGTCAGCTATACATCTCAGAGCCTTGCCATATGTGATCCAGCAATTTTAAGTGCTTTTTGTTGGGAAGATTTGTATAGTATATAGCCTACCATATTTTCAGAGATAGAAGTCATACATTTTCTGTAACCCATGTATTAGTTAATTCTTCATGTCTTTATATACTGTCTACCAATTATTGATAATAATCTTATCTCTTTAGATAATTTTTTTTTTTTTTTTTTGCGGTACACGGGCCTCTCACTGTTGTGGCCTCTCCCGTTGCAGAGCACAGGCTCCGGACGCACAGGCTCAGCAGCCATGGCTCACGGGCTCAGCCGCTCTGCGGCATGTGGGTTCTTCCCGGACCGGGGCACGAACCCGTGTCCCCTGCATCGGCAGGCGGACTCTCAACCACTGCGCCACCAGGGAAGCCCCTCTTTAGATAATTTTAAAGCTCAAATCCTTTTCATACTTATTCTCCCATACGAATCATTGCTTTCTTTTTCTAAATATGAAAACTGGGCTCAGAGTTAAGTGAGTTGTCTAATAATAACTATCATTTTTTTGACATCTACTCTGTGTCAGGCACTATAAATATATTATGGAAAATGCTTATAGCAGACCCATGAAGTGGTTATCGTTTTCTGTGGTTGAGAAAGCTAAGTGTCAAATGTGTATGCAACTGGACTAAGGTCCCATAGCTCATCATACTCAGGCCTGCCTGATTCCAGAGCCTGTTCTCTTTCTAGTGCTGTCTCTGTTTATTCCATTTCCCCAGGCTGCTCTCCTAGATGTGGGCTTAATGAGGGCATTTATGCATTTTAGTGAGAATATTTACTTAGCAAGTTCTTTACTAATAAATGTGTTTAGTAGTAACAATGGTTCATTGGTTTGTTGCAAGTGTGCACTATGTACCTTTTCAATCTCAGTTACATCTTGGAGATAAGCTCTTTTGGAGTCTTAAATGACTCAAATGAACCCAGATACTACCATTTATTGTTGTGACCTTTTCACGGTGTAGATATCTCGTCTAAAGGTTACTAGCTGGTACCTCAAGCTGTGGTTTTTAATCCTTTTCTTTTTGAGCCATGAATTTATTTTTCAAATGATGTTTTACACAGAATCCTAATACAAATCAGAGAATTAGTGGCCCTTCCTGAGGAGTACATAAAGACCTGCCATCACAGTTCACTTCTTGAAAAATTAGTCACCTTGTAAAAAAACATGTATAAACAAGTACAAACAAATAAAAATCATCAGCTATGACAAATAAATTCAACTATCTGTGAATACAGCTCTTGATTCTTAGTTTTCAGTTTCCATTATTTTTGTCCATATAATTATGGGAGCCTGTGCTCTTGAAAAACCACGTCTCTAAGAAAAATGAAATTGTTTGTACATTGAACCTGATATGCTGTACCAGCTCTCTTCAATTCAGTCCAACATTCTTAATTTGTCAGTTTCAATGAAACAACATAGTGTCCATCAGCCAAAATCAAAGGAAGGGAATGTGAGACTTCAAAAGAAATCTCTCTTCCCAGTAGCCACTTTGTATTTTCTCCAGGAATGCATTTTTTTCTCTGCCAATCTGGGTACTTCCATGTAAAAGGTCTAGGAGGGCCTGCCTCAGGTTGGAGGTTTGAACTCTAAAACCAGGGGTCTTTCCACTGTACAACAGCCTTCCCTGGTCCTCCCTCTTTTTCCCAGCCTGGCCAAAATAATTCCATTTTTTATTTGAAACAAAAATCAAGTCTCATTTTCCTTCAGAAGCAACCCTTGGTTGTCTCTGTTCATAAAGATTTTTCTGTCCTTTGAACTTAGAGCTGATATAGGATTACAATTCCACTCAAAATATATATCTTGGATACCTTTTCTATCTATCTACCCCATTCCTTTAAAGGCTATATGGTACCTTATTATTTGTATAGTATACTTTGTTTATTTCCATACTGAAAGACTTTTATTTTGTTATCACATTTTGGTATTACAAATAATTTTGTAATGATTTCATGGTACTTTCATCTTGGCATATTTGTTCCAATAGATATGTAAAATAAATTCTTACTATCAAACCTGTTGGGTTAAAAGGTATAGACAACATATGTTTTTGATAGTTATTAGCAATTGTATGAGAATGACTGTGCACACCCTCACCATCACTTGGTGTCATAAAAATTTAGATAGAATAATTTGGTTTACCTATGTTAGGTTAGGTACATACACAGCTAGTGAGGCACTTAACAAATATATGTGCACCCTTCTCTTTTTTCTCTAGAGAAAGAGTTTTTTAGGTGTTGTGGCATTGAACAAATTTCATCTACGTCTCAGTTTTCTTATCTGAGAAATGGGGTTAACAAAACCTTAAGAATACATATAAAGTTGTTGTCAGGATTAAATCATACAAAGTAAATAAAGTACTTGACCCAATATTTGACAATGCTCACTACATGGCAGGAACTTTCTCTTTGTGTTTTCTGTAGTACTGGGTACATATGACACTCAGTGAAAACAAGGGGAGGAAAATTCCTTCATCATCATCATACCCAACATCTGCTAAATACTGACCACACGTGCTACCACTGTACTTCTTTACTTAAATTTTTATCCTATTTTACACCAACTTAAAGGTACAAGTTAATTAGGTGTGGATCAGAGATCTAAACCTACCCAGTCTGAATGTAGAAAGTGTTCCACCTTTTGGAAATCAGATGCTGTATGCAACAGGTTGCTCACCTCTTGTTTCTCTCAGGCCGATGTGCTGTCCCTGGAGCTGCCATCTTGCTAAAGCCAGTCGGCTTCCTCGGCTGGCTTTACCATTCCTGCCTGGACGTGATAGCACGTTTATAAGGGTCACCTGTTGTGGTTCAACAAAAACACTGTAGTTAAAGAGGACAGACAGAGAAAACAATAAGCATGTTTATTTCAACAAAGTAAAAAAAAAAAAAAAAAACACAATTTATTTATCCAAAGACTGGTTTGATTTCTATTGAATACTATATAAAGCCCTACATCTAAAGATAAGCCCAGGTGGATCTCCAACAGCTAAAATGTTACACTAGGACTTTATCAGTGTGCATTTAATAAGTCATGGGTTGTGTGTTTTCAGGTGAGTATTTAAAATGGTATTTTGAAATAAGTGTAAGTATTCATTGTTTGGCTTCACTTTTTATAATTTCTTTCTTTCTTTTTTTTTTTTTTTGCGGTACGCGGGCCTCTCATTGTTGTGGCCTCTCCTGTTGCGGAGCACAGGCTCCGGACACGCAGGCTCAGCGGCCATGGCTCACGGACCAGCCGCTCCGCGGCATGTGGGATCCTCCCGGACCAGGGCACGAACCTGTGTCCCCTGCATCGGCAGGCGGACTCCCAACCACTGCGCCACCAGGGAAGCCCACTTTTTATAATTTCTGTGTTGATATCAGCAGTGAAGGATTGTAATAAGAACTGGGCACCTTAATTTTTAAAGAGAAAACATCCCCTAAAGCCCAACGGATATAGGTAATTTTGTTTTACATAAAGGTAGGCTGATAGACAATGGTGAGCTTCTCATGTTACAAATGAACATTGAGGCTAGGAGTGCCAGAAACTTGAACTTTTGCTGTGCTATTAGGACAGACAGGGGTAGGTCTGTGGGGTGCAGCCTTGGGCTTTCAAAAGGGGTCCTGCTGTGTGCATTAAAAAAGTGTTATAACAATCACACAGAGAAAAAAATCTGGAAGGTTATACAGCACAATGTTAACTCCATGTGGTGGGATCAGAGAATATTTTTACATTTTAAAAGTATCTTTCTAAATAGCCTGAAATTTTTAAAAATGAAAATCTATTCTTTTATAATCAGGAAAATGAAGAAGCCATTAATTAATAAAGAAACAAATCTGATGGAAAGCAAAGAAAGCTCTGCCTTTCCTGGTTCCTCTGAAACTTGGGAATCTAGGCTGGGCTCCCTACTCTCCTGTCCGTCCTTCCAGATCTCATCCAGATTAGTGGGCATACTTGGGCTCTTCCTCTCACTCTGGCTCAGATGTGGTGTCTTGTTTTTCTGTTTCATTCTGTGAACTGAGGGGGGTCTTGGAGTTATCATTCAAATGAAGTTCTAGTCAGTTGTCCTCTGCTATCTGACCTTAGTCTCTCTCTCCAGTACTCCACACAATATCTCAGATGAATAACTTTTCACCCTGCTGCGTGGAATTGTGGAGAAGGAAGCTTTCAGAATTGGATAGCTGGGCATTCAGGTTATCTAACCAGCCTGAGTTTCAGTTTCCTTATCTGTAGAGTACAGATAATAATCCTACCCTCTTTTTGTTTGCTTTAAGTACTAGAGATGATATAAAAATAGTGTTCACCAAAGTACCTGTCATTCCCTCATTCAACAACAGCTATTTATTGTGTACCTATTTATGCCATGCACTCCTCTGGACACTGGTGATACACAGAATCTACATATTTTTTTAGATGAATATGTATTTTTCATCTCTTTATTTTAGTATAGAACATCCTCTATGACCTTTCAACTTACTAATTTTATAGATACAGAGCTATGCATATAAACTCTGCCCCCACCAACAGATGTTATCAGCAGTCCCCTGTGGCCATTATAGTTTTGCCATCAGTCATGGCTTAAGGTGCGTTTGCTGGGTTTTGCTTTTTTTGAAAGGCAAAGCAAAACACAAAGAGTGAGCTAAAAAACTGTAGTATCTAATACCACTTTGATATTATAGCCATTAAGTTTTATGAAAAAGATAGTTTCACTGTTCAGATATCAGAATCCTAACTTTATGAAAATGTCCATAGTTGTTGAGAGATTTATGTAAATGTCCACAGTTGTTGAAGACCTAGTCTCTTATAAATTTTATATGCAGTGAAAATAAAGATAAAATAAGAACATCTTTTTAAGAGATCTGAAATGAAGAAGAGTTGGAACTGAAGCCATCAATATCTCTGAAGAAATTTAAGCTTGTATAGCTAACAGTGTTGACAATTATTGAACACTTTTTAATGTGTCAGGTACTGTTCTAAGTGTAGGAATGAATTTAATTCTCACATCAAAGAGCTATTATTATCATTCCTCCCCCACCCCACATCTTAAAGATGAGAAAACTGAGGCACAGAAAGTTTATGTAGCCAGGTTGCAGGTAATAAACGGCAGAGTTGGGATTTGAACCCAGGTAGGTGGGCTCTATTGTACTGATATATGCACATTGGTTACTATGCAGCTTCACTGTAGACTTATGTACAAATGGACTTATTAACAACTCTTTGAAATCTAATCTGCTCAGTGGTAGAGAAATTCCTGACTAGACACTTAACTACTAACTACGGTTGTGGGGATGCCAGAGATGGAATTGTTGGGTCAGAATCATTCATGGGAAACCCAATAATCTATTTTTTAAAGATCTTCTGATACTCAGAAAATCTGAGGAAGAAAAGAGAAGAATTCGCTCTCAGTGGGGAACCTATTTCATACCTCCATTTAAAAATTTTTTATCAAACACTGGCTGATGTTTAAATTGAACTGAAATGTTAAACTAAAAAGAGCAAAGACCCTTTAGGATGCCTGGAAGGGACTGGTAGTTACTGAACTCACTGGTAGTCTGGGACTGAGAAGGAAGTCAAAGGAGTGAGAAATAAAACATAAACTGAGTTACCATGAGTAGCCCCTTTCTCACTGGTGAGATAATCAAGGGCAGGTTCTGCCTATCTGACTCCAGGTTGTTTTCTTCCACGACTTGAACCATGAGGAGGGAATTTTTCTAATACTGATAGTTTTTTCAATACTGAGTCTATTGGTACCCTAATTCTGATGCTAGTAAACAGCTAAAGAGCTAACATAATTGTGACCAGCTGGTCAAAGTCTTGTGACTCTCAAGCAAAACCAACTCTAGTTTTGATGTCCCATCAGATTTGCAAGACTTCCGCAGAACTGGGTTTAGGCCCAATGCACAACTCAGGCTTAGAAGACTTACTGAATTGCGGTTAAATTAGTAAATCTCGTGACAGAAAGCATTTGACCTAGATGTTTGTATTTCTTTAGTTCATTCTCCAGGTTTGATCTCTGTGTTTATATTTTGGGAATAAATTAAATAGCTCATTGCCTTAGGTAAAAATAGAGGAAATCTGAATAAAGCACAGACTTTAGTTAATAATAATGTATCAATATTGGTTAATAAGTTGTAACAAATGTACCACACTAATGTAAGATATTAGCATTACAGGAAACAGTATAGGCTATCTGGGGGGCTCTGCATTATCTTTCCAAATGTTCTGTAAATTACAAGTTATCATAAAATAAAAAGTTTACTTTTTAAAACAAACAAACAAAAAACTCATTGCCTTATCCTTTATATAAACATTGAGTTGTATTTTAAAAAACAGTGGAATTTTTATTAAAATTTTTGACTTCAGAGGTAATAATCACCAAGCTTAAGACAAATATACCTAGAGAGCATGAATTACTTAAAGAAACAACTCCTAAGTATAATTAAGTACTTTCCCCCCAAATCCTTACTCTAATGATTCTAAATTCTGTCTTTCTTTCTTTCTTTCTTTTCTTTCTTTCTTTCTTCCTTCCTTTCATTCTTTCTTTCTTAACATAAGCCATCCATTTTGGAAACTTCTGAGACTATGATAGTGTCAAATCCATCATGGCTCAAAGCAGTTCCATTACAAGCATTGGTGACCTTGCTGTACACCGCACTGCATAATTATTCACCCTCTGCTCTTTTCCTCCTGTCACTGTGGAAGAGATGTTTCTTCTCTAGTTCCTGGGTATGGACCTCTTTCTTCCCATACTTGCTGGGATGCTGCCTCATGCCTACTATCTTTTCTGGATTGTCCGTCTCTCCTTTTTTATTGATTTATTGCCCTGGTTTCACGCAGGCGTCTCTACTCTGAGCAACTTGGGAGAAGGGACGTGGATCACTTATTTCTGTATCTCCCAGCCTATCTAGCACACTGTAGGAGACCAAAATAAAATTATTTTTAACATTAAGATGTAATGATAAAGAAAATAACCTTTTCTCTATTTTTCCTCTTACTCTGACTTGATGAAGAAACAACAATGAACCTTAAGCAGAGCTTGGCTCCACGGTTCACTGAGTGTTCAAGTCCCTTCATGAGGACAGTTATGACTTAGTTTTAGCTCCTTTGCTACCACAGGATTGACTGTGTTGGTGTGGACATCAGGAGGGACGAGTAGACCAACCAGATCATTCCTTTCTGTCAATCTTGTGCCTAAATTTTTCCCTGAGGCAGAAGCAGAAAGAGAACTACCATCTCTGCATTGTCCATCCATATGTTGGCCACACAAGTCCCATGCTCTCTTACCAGTCAGATTTCTCTGTCAGTTCACCTTTTCAGGTCCTCTACTGAGTGCTTACTGTACCACTGTGCTCCCTGCAATGTAGTTTTCCTTGGCGAGGAATCCTGTGAATATACCGGGCAAGCCAGGCAGTCTAGGACTGACCAAGAAGTCAAAGGAGTGAGAAATAAAATGTAAACTGAGTTACCATGAGTAATCTCTTTCTCATTGGTGAGATAATCAAGGGCAGGTGCTGCCTTTCCGGCTCCAGGTTCTTCGCTTTTCCCCTGCAGCTTGAGCTGTGAGGAGGGAATGTTTCTGATATGGGTAGCTCTGGAGTCTATTGGTATCTTTATTCTGATGGCGGTAAACTGTTGTCAAGACCTTGGAGTGAAAGAATCTCAGCATATACCAGCCTCTGTTTCCTAGGACAGTTGGTATCTCTTCCACGACAAGCTATTTTAGTTAGGCTAACTGGAAAACAGATTTTCTAAAACTACTATTTAATGTATCACACATAAAATCACACATACGCCATGAGTTGTTAAAGCAAACTTGAA